GATGGAGATACGTTCCATCAAATGAATTACACGACGTATTGTCCTCCTGTCCCTTGAAGAAAATTTGAATTTAAAATCCAATTAGTTGAGTGCTTGAATCAGGTCCTCAGTATGACCGCCAATAGGGTGTGGACCTACGATGAATGATTGCAAAGAACATTCCCAGTTGTTGGATGGAACATGGACGTGGGGAGAAGTCATTCTAACCGGGAAACAAAAAGACTTGGTAAAAAATTATGGGGTAAATTATATAACACCCCCTTGTGTTTTAGTAAAAACGCACAAAACACTCTATATTTTATTTATTGGGTGAAACCCCATTGTGTTAATGCAAAGTTTGTATGAAACACCCTCTTGTCCAAAACTGATATTTGGTTCTAAATAAATACCTAAATTACGCAGATTTTATACAAATAAAAAATAGTATAAAATATCTTAAATAATTTTTTTTTGAAAAAAATAAATTAATAAATAATTGATCAATCATTTATTTTATAGTTTTTATAAAAATCAGATAAGAATTTGTCTAAAAAAAACTATAAAATGAAGGACTAAACAATTATTTATTTACTTATTTTATTCAAAAAAATTATTTAAGATATTTTGTGTTTTTTTCTTTATAAAACTTGCGTAATTTAGGTATTTATTTATAACCAAATATCAGTTTTGAACAATGAGGGTGTTTCGTGCAAACTTTACATTAACACAAAGGGGTTTCACGTAATAAATAAAACACAAGGTATTTTGTGCATTTTTACTAAAATACAAGAGGGTGTTATATAATTTACCCAATTATGAGACATGTATGATTTATTTATTGATGAAGGGTTGGGAGTGAAGATTTGGTTCTATGGTGATTAATTGTGCATGGTGTTTTGATCCACAAATAGAGGCATGTTTGTTGGGTCAAAAACATAAATTTTATTACTGAAAACAGGTTAATAACAAAACATCTGGTCACGTCGCATCACGACTGATCGGGCGGTTGGCTTCAAAAAAATCTACGGTTGGAGGATCGGCCACTGGCTAACCGGCTTTGGAGGGGTTAGCCGCAGGGAGACCCAAAAACAAGGATCCAACCGTCGGAACTCTTGTGGCCAAAGGTTGAAAGTTGGTTGGTCAACTGGTGGTTGCTCAGGAGAAGTCGGCAATATTGGTCGGGAGACCACAATGCCTTGAGCAGCACAGTTGGTATTTCAGGGTGCATTGACTGTGAAGAAGTTCGCCTCCTGGTCGGTTCCTCGGTCCGATCAATCATAGGCGGTTCCTCATGGGATTGGTACTTACCTCTTGCGCAGGGCCCGTGTTGGGACGGCTAGAAGAAGTTGGAGTTATTTGATCGGATGTAGGAGTCAGAGACCATGTGACCGACCACCACTCACGAAAGGGCTTAACAGTCCGAGATTCCCAACTGTCAATGCTGGTGCTAATCGAGGGTGACGTTTGCGAGTCAGAGGAGGAGGAGGCAAGTTATTGAGCAGAAAATAAAGTTATGATTTGAGCCCAGAAAAGATGAATGGATGGGCCCAGTGGTGGGTAGAGTCATTCGATCGGATGGTTGTTGGGGCCAGGCCGGTCGGACGGTTGGCCCTATGGACAATTTTTATCCGAGTTTGGGCCTTGGAGCAATTGATTGCAAAGGTAACCGACGAGGAAGCCGCTTCGGACGGTTCAGATCGGTAATCAACGAGAAAGCGGTTTTGGACAGTTCAGATCGGTAACCGACGAGGAAGTGGTATTGGACGGTTCGGATCGGTAATCGACGAGAAAGCGGTTTTAGACAGTTCAGATCAGTAACCAACGCAGAAGCGGTTTTTGGACGGTTTAAACGTGACTAACGTTGATGCAGTTTTTTTACGGTTCAAGGTAACCGACGTGAAAGCGGTTTTTTAGGCGATTCAAGGGTAACCGATATGGAAGTGGTTCTGGACGGTTTGGTTTGATATGTATATAAACAACCTTAGCGATAGAGTGCGGACATCTTCAATCAAACAAAATTTAGAGAAATTCTCATCGGGAATCATCATTTTTAGTTTTCTAGTTATCCTTTTCAACTTTTCTTTTTCTTTTATTTAGCAATATTATGTACTGTCTGTCTAGGGATCTGTAACCTCAGACACTCTTCACTCAAGTTCGAAATATGTTTTCGAATTTTACTTTTTATTGTTGAAGTTTTACCATCAACACCAGGCTTTCTTTCGGATTTTTTACATTATTTATTTCGTACACAACAACGATAAGATTGCCACTATTGAGGTCACAATTAGTCTGGTGGCTCGTCTCCACCAGTTGGGAACTTGGCTTCTTCTTTTTCGGTGCCTTCCAGTCCTTAACCTAGTGTCCTGTTTGATTGCAGTCAAAACAATTACCTGTAAACTTGGATTGTTTAGCCTTGCCCTTGTCCTTTTGAATTGGGCGTGCACGATGTTTGGAGGGATCTCCGACCAAGTTAGCTTTAGCAATATCTCCGCTTTTAGCCTTGTGCTGCTTTTTGTTGTCCTCCTTTATCCAGATTTGGACAATCAGATTTTCAAGCCTCATTGCTTTAGCTCATTCTTCAGCCCGTGCTTGAAGTTGCTATAACTCGGGGGTAATTTCTCGATCATTACACTCGTGATGAACTTTTTTGGCAATAGCATCTCCTTGTCGATGACAGAGTGGACAATGTGTTGAAATTCTTTCACTTGTTCAACGATAGACTTGTCATCTACCATTTTATAGCCCATAAACCGTGCCACAACAAACATTTTAGATCCGGCATTCTCGAACTTATATTTTTTCTCAAGGGCATCCCACAACCCTTTCGGACTGTTGATTTTACAATATATATTATAAAGAGAGTTAAAGAGGCTACCTAATATGATGTTTTCTTTTTTCATATAGTCTTCATGTGCCAACGATGCATAATTCGCATGTGTCTGCTGATCTGCTTCGGGCTTTGGGGTAGTTGGCCCATCGTGCAACACAAATATGACAAACCCAATCGCAGTTAGGTATATGAACATCTTCTCATGCCACCTCTTAAAGTCCACGCGAGTGAATGGTTGTGGAACTGGTACATGGAGTATCATCCGTGGGCAAGGCCTATAACCAGTAGTTTGGACTGCGAAGGTAGCAGAGGGTACGGGTACAAATCCAAGAAAGCCCTCACATCCACCTTGGGCAAACCCATAAAACACAAGGCTACTCATAAAGCAAATGGACCCAAATGGGGGAGTGGCAACTTCGGCGGCAGCCCCGGAAACTATTTCGAATGAGGCTCCGGCCACTCCTCCGGCAGCGGTGGCAGCGACTCCGACGACTTCGGTAGTTACTAATTTTCGATTGTTAGTTAAATGGGTATTGCTATAAGAAAGTCTACCGTGAAACCAAGTCGAGGATGAATTCTCTTTCCGAAAATTAGATACTCTCTGGTAGTGCCTCAAGTAGCCGACGTTCTAACCCAAAGATAAAACGATTTTCCGTCTCTGATGAGAGTGGCACCTCAGATCGTCGGAGCTCCGGCGAACAAAGCGAGAGAGGAACCGAGCTGAGGAGTTTGCCGGAAAGTTAGAAGAGTTAAGATAAAGAGGAGAGAATGGTGTTGTGCGTTTAGAATAAATTAAAGGCAGGAGGCCCTTTATATAGCCGTCTCCATTAGACCAAAATAGCAGGGGATCAATTACGATAATAATTACGACCTTAATTACCGATGTAATTTATTCTAAATTCAAACATTTCGTTTGAGGCGGTCGTAATTAATTCTAATAACAAAATTTCCTTTTGTGACGATTGTAATTTATTCTAATTTCAAAACTTCCGTTTGAAACGATGGTATTTTATTCTAATTTCATATTATAATAAATTTATCCAACGGATAATATTTTATCCAAATAATACTGCGACCTAGGCCATATACCCGTGTTTACACTACAAAAAAATATATATATTTGTAACGAAATTCCGTCCCTAAAGTTCACGTAGCTAATGTAATTCTATTACTAATTCCGTCTCTAATGTCATTAGTAACGGAAAAAGTAGATTTAGAAACAAAAAAATTTTATTACAAAAATGATTTTTTCTTGTAGTGTTAATTTATGGCTGCACAATTTGATTTGTCTCGAGATTGACAAAATAGTCAAATATTAATCAAATTCCATATACAATAAATAAATAATATTAATTTATTTCTTCCAAATTAATCTTAAGGTTCACCGACCCTTTATATTTTTACTCATAGATTACTACGGTGTATAAATATATGGATTATCCAATATGCAGATGTAGATAACGGCGATAAAGGCGAGGGTGATTCTTTATGTGCGTGAGAGAAGAATAATTTGAGAATTATATAGGAAATATATTTATCAAATAAAATATATAAATTTACTACAGTAATATTTCAAATTTGATTAGGATAAATCAATCTTTCATTAATAATTATATGTAATTTCCTTAAATGATATTATATTATTGTCATAAAAAAAAAAAAAAAAAAAATTATATAACATATATTATATATAAGAAAATCATATCATTGGAATTTGTATAACATACATATATTCAATCGAAATAATAGCTTAATGAATAAGGGTATTATTTTTCTATGCATATGATTCGATTATTATTTATAATGGGCCGAATACCTATTTGTGACCAACAATTAAATTTGGGCCCGTCTGGTGATGTATAATTATTTTTTTTAAAAAAATAATAAATATTAAAATCAGGTGAATATTAAAAAATAAAATATTTTAAATATATTAGTAAATATGCAATATAATTAAGAAATTGTAAATCATTAATTCTAAAATTTAAATATCAAATCCGTCAATTCATCATTTAAATTTCAAATGCACACCAAACCACAAAACCTGAACCCATAAACCCACCGCTTGGTAAGCACAAAACACAAATTTTCATATAAGCCCCTATAATATGATTAATACTCCAACTAGTACCTCTACAAATTATATAAACTAATTTAAAGCCTTTCTTCTTCAGCCAGACGCATTCAATTTTCCCTCCATTGAATGGACGCCATTACAGTAAAATATCGTTCCATCTCTCGAAATCACTGAACAATTTGAGATCCTTGAAACCGATTCATTTTCTTCATCAGAAAGCCATCTCTTATCCCTGTGCAAGAACCTGAGCAATCTCTACATTTCTTGCGATTTTTCGAGGTGTGGAGAATCCTTCGGACATCACGCTATGGAACGCTCTGATCGCAGCATATATGAAGAACGCAATGTTCCGCGAGGCTCTGTCATTGTTCGAGAAATTACTGCGGTTTCCAAATTTGAAACCAGACGGTTACACGTACGTACCCGAGCTTGTTGAAGGCTTGTGGAGGATTGGGGAGGAAGGAGTACGGGGAGATGAATCATTCGATGCTGATGAAATTAGGGTTTATATCGGATGTGGTTATTGCTAGTTCATTGGTCGGAATGTATGCGAAATGTGGGATGTTTGGATCTGCAGTGAAGGTGTTCGACGAAATGCCTGAGAGGGATTTAGCTTGTTGGAATATTTTTGTCATATATTTATTTAGCAAAATATATCCTATATGTTTGAGAAAGTTGCTATTTCTATTATTTAACTGCGGCATATAGGGATAGAAATAGCGATTTTTTCAAACATGTAGAATATATATTGCCAACAAGATAAATACGTAACAACAATGATAATAGGGTATACGTGTGGAATATTTTTTTGCAATTTTTGCGACGAGGAGCAATGGATTGATGCCCGACTCTATCTCTTATACCGTCGCGATATCGCCGTGTAGTCGCCTCGTCGATTTGGAGCGAGGAGAAAAGATTCATGAAGAAGCGTCTTTAATCGGTTGTCAACAAGAGATGTAGTTTCGTGGACTTCGATGACGAGCGCCCGAAGCTTTTCGAGGATATGTTGAGAGCCCGTGTAAGACCCGATAGAGTAACCTTCCTCACAGTAATTTCAGTTTGCAGCCACGCCGGACTAGTTGACGAGGGACGGCGATGTTTTAACTTAATGGTACACGGTTATGGAATCCGACCTACGATTGATTGCAGAGTATTCGTGTCTTATAGAATCATATGAAGAAAGATGAAATGGAAGCACAAGTTGAGGCGTAGTCGAACAGATGCGTCGATCAGATCAGACAACAGTAATCTTTGCGACGCCTTCTTGCAGCAAAGTTGAAGAGACGACATAAACAAGCAAAGAAGGCGCCGTACGCGCGGAGGTAATTAACTTTTTCTAGTGCGAAATTTGATTTTCGCATAAACTCAGATTCGACTAGATTGAATTACACTAGATTGAGCTAACAAACGATTATTTTGTTCGATGAAGGGTCGGTATACACATCATTACCAGTCTCGGAAGAACCTGCGCCGCGGCTGTGCGAGCCTCCCGGAATTTTAAGGTGTTTGAGACTTTATTACCCGTCTATTTGGCAACTTTTACTATGCTAAATTTTATACTTTCTTTGTCGGGCCTTTTCATGTCACATTGAAGACTAGTCCTAAGAAATAATAGTATTTTAACGTAAAAATGGAGCAAAGAAAAAGTAAAATAAAAGTATTATGAGAAATTTATCAAAGTATTAATAAATAATTAGTGGGATGAGTAAAAAAAATAATAGCAAATTGATTGTTAGTTGTTATAGTAGAAATAATAAAGCTTTGGTTGAATATAAATAAATTTATTGTGTGAATTGAATTCAGGCAAATTTCATAGTTCAACCTTCTATTTTTAATTTTCTTTTTGGATCGGATCATAGTTCAACCCTTCTTGTTCGAGTAATGAATTGCTTAAATTCTTGATTTTCACGAAGGATTTTTTTTTTTTTTTAAATAATGCATCAGGTCTGAACAGTGTCTATTACAGTAATCTTTTTTTTATACATTTTTTAAAAATGTTTTGATACACTTTTGACAATATATGATAATCCAATATATAGCACATATTCTGATCATATAATATAATTTTACATAACACAATATATTGCTAATTTTAGTATAATTAATATATGGTACAACATGTCTTTATATGACATAACATTATATTACGTTATATAAAAATATACATTATTCGACTTTGTTATATATACTAAGGGTGTGTTTGTTTGGGAGTTTGGATTTTGAGATGGGATTTGAATAGTAAAAATTTTGAATTTGAATAGTAAAAATTTTGAATTTGAATAGTTGTATGATGTGATATAAATAGGTGTTGATGTGATGTTTTGAATGTAAAATTGATTTTTAGTATAATTTTAAAAATAAAAAATAGATGTTTGATTTGATATTTTTTAAGGGGAAAAATGACGAATAGTTAATTTGAAATCCAATCCCCCAAACAAATACATCCTTAACTTGAAATCCAATCCCCCAAACAAACACATCCTTAACTGACTCAACTAATATAACTTTCAATGCCGCGTATTGATGAAGTACAGACAATTCAACTTCACAACACATATGACAGTTGATGAATTTTTCATTATTATTAATTACATATTATATAATATTCCGACATAATATAAACCTTCCGATCAAACAAAAATCTTATTATCCTCGTAAAGAATATTATACCTCATACAATTTAACTACATTAATTTAATAAAATCGATATATAATTAGCAAGATCATGAATCCTCGACAACATTACGGAGATCAACATTCAACCTTCTCAACCAAATCGAATGAAGAGTCATGTGGAGAACATCGTACCTTTTCGAAGGCAAATTGACCTCGAAATGCCTTCTCACACCGGCCCCTCGTCTTTGCATTCTTATGTATTGTCGGTTCGAGATCCTCGTCAAAATGTCCTTAAGGTTCGGAATGTCCTCAACCGGAACCACGACGGAAAACGCCCTCCAATTGAGGACATCGCTAAACGGCGGGACGTAGTGGTCCTTTATGAGCACGGGCACACACCCGGCGTAGAGTGCCTCGACCATTCTCGGGCTGGCAACTTCGTATCTGGTAAAATAATTTTCAAAAACATCAGAATCACGTATTACTCATGATGAAAATAGGAACTTATAAATAGGTATGAAATATATTTGACAAACGCAAATCTAGAGGAGTTAAAATTAAACTCGATCCGAAAAATTGAACCCGTTCGAGCTGAAATTTTTCAGGTTCAAATTTGAATATTTTGAATTTGCAAAAAATTAGGTTGACCAAAACACAACGAAAAATATTTGTTTCATATTCGGGTCGGATTTTGGGTTGACCTAATAACTTCATGAAATATAAAAATTATGTCGGATTTCGTATTTCGAGTTGATCTGAAATTATTTATTATTATTTTAATTTATAATATTTATACCATCTTAAATATAAAATAATATTAAAATAAAAATAAAAAATGAATTTTTTAGGTTACTTCAATTTTTTTTTAAAATTTTCGCGTCTGTTTTTTGTCGGGTTTATTCGAATTTCGGATGACCTGAAACTAAATCAGGTCAACCTGAACCTGACCTGAAAGAATTCGTATCATGTTCGGATTTAGAGTTTCGGGTCAAATTTTGGGTTCAGGCGGGTTCGGGTTGGGGTTGATAGTGTCATTGTTACCTCATGACTCAACCAGACACGAATACGACCCGAAAACACAAATTGACATTGCTACTCGAATCAAAACAATCTAATTTATAATAAACTAACCAAATTTATTATATATAATAAATTAAATTTCTAAAATATTTAAACCGTACCCGCTCGGGCAGATGCAGTACCGACTACTCCTCATCATGGCGTTATACGAGACGTTCTTCGGAAGATACCGGTGGACTTGGATATCGGGGTCTCGATTCTCCCAATGTTCTAGAAGGATCGGCCTTATCGGGCCGTGGACCCCACCGGCGAAGAAGGCGAGGATCGATCGTTTCGAAGGTGACAACCCGCCAATCAATCCTTTGGTTCTTCGACCAATTAAGTTGATCTCCGGGATCGAGACATCCTTGGACGGATCGAATCCTTCCGATGTATTCGCATTGCATAATGCTCGAATCGAATTGTTGAATAGTTCCGGGACTGATTTCGAAAGCTCTGGCCCCTGCAAACTTATGCATCTAAGGCTCTTACATCTTACAACAATTTTTAGGCAAATACACATGTATATACGTCCGTTTGTAATAATGTATCTTAGTGTGTTCTTCCATAAAAAAAAAAAATTTAAATACGGTTTTCTCATTATAGTTACACATATATTCATATAAAAGATAAAATATAAGTATATTTTATCTATCAAAGTCAACGATTTAAGACAAAACACCCAAATATGCATTATAAGTACTATCAAATTTATATTTAGGGACACCATTACATTCATTATAACACAATAACAAAAAAGTTTTTGCATACTTATAAAACTACAACCAACTATCATTTATATATTACTCTCTCCATCTCGATTATGGTGTCTCATTTACTGTAAACACTAGATTTTAGACGAAATATAATTACTAAATAATTAAAAATGTATTAGTGAAAATAATTATCGTATAATAAAAATAATTTTATATTAAAATTAAAATTATTAATTAATCTAATTAAAATTTTAAAAAATACATAATTTAAAAAAAATAAAATAATATTAAAATGTATAATTCTTTTCAAAAAAAATCACAAAATAAATAGAATGAACGAAAATAAAAAAAAAATGGACACAATAGGTAGAACACATAAAGTATTATTATTTGATTGTCATACTAAAGTTAATATAAATCTATGAAGTGAACCGAGATAATATTTAATTTTTTATATTATCAGTATATTTTTCAATACTAGCATAATTTTTATTTTTTTTTTTTAAAAAAAGATCAAATTAAAATCACAAAAATTATTCTCAAATTTTGTTTAGATAGACATTTTAGTACCTATTTTCTTCTCTCTCTTTCTTCTCAAAAAAAAAAAAAAAGTCGTTTCATAAAATATTTAATTTTTTATAATTTTCAAAAAAAAAAAACTTCAAAGCTTCAAGTCGTCTTCAATCTAAATCGTGAACAAGTCAATGATCGATTACCCAATCGTGGCAAGAAAGCATGGCGTGATCGAAGCCGAGGCTGCGATTCCAGAAAGGGTATTTAGCAGCAATAAGATGGATGTAATCCTCGACGACACCTTTCATGGGCTCCCAATAGTATTCGACACTTCTGTCGTAGACGAATCGGACAATCGACGCCACGCTGAACGGGAGGAAGAAGACGTGGGCCTTGTTGGGGTCCTTTGTCCGAAACCCAGAATTCTCGATCTTGTATATGAAGTTCCCTTCCATGGAGTAGATGCTGCCGCAGGGCCCGTTGTGGAAGATGGGCTGCTCCCCTTCCGAGTACACGTACACCTTCATCTGCTTCTCCATCTCCAAATAGCTCCTGCAATTATTTAATGGAGATTTTTTTTTTTTTTCTTAGGGTTTTCTGAGATTTCTAGGTTGTACGGACGACGGACGGGACCGACCTGTGGAAAGCTGGGGCGTTCCAGTAGGCCGGGCCTGTTGGAACGTAGTCGAGGTCCTGCTTTAATGGCGGTTTTGGAGATCTGATTGATGATCGTGCTTGCTGCAGTTTGCCCTCCAGGAAATGGAGATTTTTGAATTTTTGTCTGGTTCTTGGCCTTGATGATGACTGGTTGTCCGTCGTTACAAACTGTGTCGAAAATCAAAATCCAATCGAAATATTCTTTTACACACATATATATATATATATATATATATTAATTGAAGAGTTTAATTGTTCTTACAGGGAGGGGAGAATCAACGGCGCCGACTTCCGGCGGCGGCGCGGCGTTGGGAGGGCGGAGACTGTAATCGACGGAAATTGCATTCTCCGGCGCTCCACTAGCCTCCACCGCCACCGCCGCCGTGGAATTGTAATTACCGGAGCTACGAAAAGCCAACCGCCATGCCCAATAATTCAAATCGAACGGCGAATTCGACCGCCGGAAAGCCACCAGCACCGCCAGAGCTGATACCGCCATTAATGGCAGAGCCAAACCCCAAATCCTCGACGCCGTCGCCGGAAACCGCCGCTGCGTTTTCCGACAACACTCCTCCATATATCAAAATCCTCAAATCGAAAACCTGAATTACAGCAAATTAGTTAATTAACATCGATTGCAGATCGGAAATTCTTCTTAAATTAAGGTAGCAGCGATCGGTGGTCGCCGCCGCTGTCGTCACGCCAGCCAAGCGTCGTCGTAAGGCTGCCTCAATATTCGAGTCGTTGTTTTTGTTCATGCAGACAGACTTACAGCAAACTTCAGACCGTATTTAATTTGTATTTCCCATTTTGCCCTCGATCTATCGTATTATTTACTTTGCTCCTCCGGAGCGTGCGCTGCACGTGTCCCGCCACGTGTCCGTCTGACCGTTGCTGATACGGCGGCGCGTTTTGATTAACGAATGATAGATGTAATTAATGTAAATTAAACTTCTGTTAATATTGTATTAATGACAGCCGTGAAATCAGCACCATTAATTCTCTTTCAGTTTGGGAAAACGACAGAGAAAAAGTATGCATGGATTTTTGTGCTTGAAAAAGGACAATAGTGTGAGTTTAATTCGCATTTAATAATAATAATAATAATAATAATAAATTAATAATTTAAAAAAAAAAAAAAAAAAGAAAAGAAAAAAGAGTATGGAAATGGAGACTTGGGGCGTGACGTGTCCCTTTCCATGACTACTTTGCAGTATGGTTTATATTCCCTCCATTGCCACCTTCTTACACGTCTCGCTAACATGACCGATTTTAAATTTATCAATTGATTTTTAATTTATATTTTATAATAAGATAAATTATATAATACTAATTGTATTTTTAGTAAAAATGTATCAAACATATTGTATTTTATTTATTACGTAAAATCTCCATGTGTTAATATAAAATTGCACAAAATACCTATTTTGTCCAAAATTAATATTTGATTTTAAATAAAGACCGCAAATTTTATACAAATAAAAAATAAAATATTTTAAATAATTTTTTTAATAAAATAAATAAATAATTAATTAATTAAATTATTTGAAAACAGATTGTCATCTCATTTTTACAAAAATTATAAAAAAAAAATAATTGACCAATTGTTTATTTATTTATTTTATAAAAAAACTATTTAAAATATTTTACATTTTTTTATTTGTATATATAACTACAAACACATAATCACCTATAATTACTAATCCTATTGATGTTTATATTACTACCATATTTTAAATAAATTAATTATTTTGAAATTATCAAATTAAATTTGATAAAGCAATTCCATAAATATTGAAATTCAATTGAGTTTCGATTGGAAAGTTGACATGGAACACCATACAAATTTAAATTTAAATTTTGTTGGAATTAAAAAAATAAAAATAAACAAAATCATATTCAAATATCTAAATGGGTATGTTTGGTGTCAATTTCAAACTCAAATAATTAAATATTACTCCCTCCGTTCCATAAATATAGTCTTAATTGAGTTGAGCACAAGATTTAAGGAATATTGATATTATATTGATAGTCGGTAAAAAGTATGGTTAAAAGACTTTTTTGTCCTTGTGAGTATTTCTAGTATAAAAAGTAGCGGCAATTGTGTAATAAAAATGAAAAAGTAGATATAGTTTTATGGTGATACGGTTATTTACGGAAATAAGACTATTGTTTTGGGACGGACAAAATTGATAAACGAGACTATTGTATTGGGACGGAGGAAATATTTATTTTCTATTGTTTTTAATAAAAATAATTTTTTTTTACCATAAATATCATATCAAAATACTATTTAAACTTAAAAAAAATGAAATCTCGAATAAAAAACCGAACAAACAAATTAATTTCGTTGTATATGCACACCTTACCTATATATTTATTAATTTTATTTTGAGATTTTGATGAATAATTTCCTATTTTGTGATAACGCATGTAAAGCTTTTGTTAGTTACAGATTTTTCGTTTCGGGCAAGAATTTTGAACTTTGAACATGTGAAAAAGTTCTTTTGAAAAAAAGTCGAATATATGATATGGGTGGATGTTGGTAATGAAATTAATTTGAAAAATTAAAATATATATATATATGTATTATAATTACCAATATTTTAGTTTAATTTGTATACATATATTTAATAGAATATACTCAATTCAAATAATACTTTTGTCAAAATAAAATTCCAATATTTAGATTGTATGGTTTAGAATTTATTGGATAAGATTAAAATTTGAGTTCTAATAAACTATACTCCCTCCGTCCCATGTAATATGGGTGTATTACTGTAGATACGAGAATTTACGTAAAGTATAATTAGTAAGTAATTAAGAAGTGTATTAGTAAAAATAATTATTATTTAGTAAAAATAATTACAGATTAGGATTAAAATAAGTAAATAGTTTAATTAAAATTAAAAAAAAAAATTATAAAATTTAAAATTTAAAATGCGATTAAAGTGCATAATTATATTTCCAAAAATAAAAATGACAAGTTGTGTGGGACAGACGAAAATAGAAAATAGGAACAAATTATGTAGGACGGAGGGAGTATTTTCTAACAAGTTAATTTTGATGTCACTTTCAAATTGATTAATATTGAGCTGAGTTCGAAAATGAAATATTTAAAATTGAAAATTACTTATTAGATTTAAATAAAAACTAATTTAGATTAACATGAACAGTCCACTAACTTTGACAATTTTGTACTCCATCCGTCTCAAAAGTATAGTCTTATTGTGTTGGGCACGATATTTAAGAAATATTGATATTATATGGGTAGTTGGTAAAAAATAAGGATAAATGACATTTTTGTCCTTGTGAGTATATTAATAATAATGAAAAAATAAAGATAATTTTATGGTGATATAGTTATTTATGGAAATGAGACTATTATTTTAGAATGAACTAAATATTAAACAAGACTGTTATATTGGATCGAATGGAGCATTACTTTTTACAAGTGCAACTACCTAAATATAGACCACAAAAAGCCTCAATTGAGACTAACTTTATAATTATTATTATTATCATCGAATAAGTGTAAAACACTTTTCAACAACTATTGTGAGTTGTTTTAGGGTTTGTTTGTTTACTATTTTAAGCACAAATTTACACTAATTAATTCGTTTTTAATAAAAATATATTTTTTCCGTCTGGTTTGAAAAGGGTCTTTTGGAGTTTTATAGTAAATTAAAAAAATAATATTATTTTTTTTTGTAAAAAATAATTGTATGTGTAATAATGATATATTTGTAATTTAAGTAAAAGTTAAGAGTATTTTGATATTAATGTATTATATTACAGACAAAAATGGTAAAAATAATACTGTGAATTGAGATGAAAAAAAATATTATTTTTTTTATAAAAATATTATATTAAAATAGAAAATCAAATCATCATCTAATTATTTTAAATCATCAAAGCAAACCCTAATTTTAGCTCTATTTAATTAAATTTCGCTATCTTGACAGCTTAGTAATTAATTCTAAGCTGGCAGTTAACTAATCTGGAAGTGCCACGTAATCTAAAAGTCAGCCACGTCTTCTATACGTAAACTTAAAAATAAATTACTCTCTCCATCCCACATAATTTGTGGATATTTTCTATTTTCGTCCGTCGCACATAACTTGTCATTTCTATTTTTAGAAATATAATTATGCATTTTAATCCCATTTTAAATTTTAAATTTTATAATTTTCTTAATTTTAATTAAACTATTTATTTATCTTAATTTTAATTTATAATTATTTTTACTAAATAATAATTATTTTTACTAATATACTTCTTAATTAATTACTAATTATATTTTACCTAAATTCTCGTGTCTACGGATATAGTAATTCAAGGGTTTAGTTTAATCTACAATAAATGATAAAATTATCATTTTTATAGTTATTAAAAACGACATGCAATCAAGAATTCATTTTAATTTTATTTAATTTATTTTGCAATCGTAGATGTTACGTGTTGGTTTATAAAGAAGATAATTATGGTTGTCATCATCTTATCGAGTTTTGCAAGACACTACAAAAAAATAAAAAATAAAAAAATAGTATATTAGTAACGGAATTCCCTCCCTAAAATTCACATAGTTAATGCAATACACTCTCTAATTTTATCTATAATGTCATTAGTAATGAAAAAAAGTGGATTTAAAAATGAAAAAATCTTATTACAAAATTGATATTTTCTTGTAACGAGAGGTTTTTTCATAAGTTTTTTTTGGTCCCGTGTTCATTGGTTTTTAATCTTTTAAATAATGTCTTATCTTTATTTGGTGAAATTTGATAAATAAAAAATAAAAAATAAAAAATAAAAAATATAACTACGGAATAAATATAGATTTATTTTTATAATTTTGCTTAGACCATCCATAGCGTAGTATTATTACAAAAATAAAAACCCTCCAAATCTTTCTACGCATGCCACTAAAGAAAAAAAATATTAAAAATAATAAATAGTCCAAACTTGTTTTTTTTCTAATCTTATTTCTTTTTCACATAGAGAGAAAGTTTTACTATTCTTTTTATTTATTATTTTTAATTAATAAAAAATATTTTAAATATTATGTGTAGCAATAATTTAAATTTATTATTGAATTAAAAATTCAATTGTGGGTTAAATGAAATTATTTGGGCTATCAGTCAGATTCAGCCTATGTTAAGTGATTTATTAATTTATTGGGCCAATTAATAATAAAAGTTATAAATAGGGTTGTGATCCAGGTCTAGACGCAACAACCATTACGTTCCATATTTTATCGTCAGAGTAACGACAAAAACCCTAGCAGTTTTCTCACGAGGGATTGCGTCATAGGCTTGAATAACACAAATCTTCCGTTAATTTGCATATCCGAATCCAACAACGCTAATGGAATAAGGTTAGATCTGATTTGCTTTATTTTTATCTCAATTATTACGACACTGTAGATCCTAGTTAAATTCATGATAAGTTCTAACATATTTTTCGTTAATTATATATTGTATTTTTAAAATAATTAATATTTATTTTCATATTATAATTTAAGTATATTCTACTTTCATCCCATTTGAAAATAAATATTTATTTTTGATGGGAGTTTAA